ATATATGTAAACGGCTCAATAACATAACTCATTATGTCCAGACACTGAAAGAAAAGGTTCACATACTTTTACCACTCACAAATATGTAATGGTGTATCATTTTCCTCAATAAATAAATGACCAAGTATAATATTTTTGTCTCATTTGTTTAACTGGGTTCTCTTTATCTACTTTTAGGACTTGTGTGAAAATCTGATGATGTTTTAGGTCATATTTATGCAGAAATATAGACAATTATAGAAGATTCAAGCATCACTGTATGAATGAAAAATAGCAACAAAGCAAGCAGTGGTAATTTTTATGTTTAACACATGCAACAAAACCATGAAAACAAATGTGAATTCTTAACAATTATTTACTAAAACTGACATTTAAAAAAAGTGGAGTTAATTGCGCTGGTGTAGATTCTCTGTCATCCCGGCAAAGCACTTATTTAGTCAGGGACTTTTCGCTTCCCATCCAGGAAACTTTCTCTGATCTACAGTTTCAAGCTTCAAGCTGCATGAGATGCTCGTTTTATGTAGCTAGATTCACATGCAGATTTATCACTCCCCTCCCACTGGACAGCCATTAGGGGTTTTGTTTGCCCTAACTCACAAGATACTTCTATCACGTGTGAAAGGACTTATGAAGGTAAAACTTCATAAATTAAAAACTCATGAAGTTGTCTAATGAAGCATTAAGCCTGTCATTGCCCTCAAATTCACACCTTCATGCATGTGACCAAGCAAACAAGGACCCTAATGACTTCATTAAAAGGGGAGTTCTTATGAATTTAGCTGTATAATCGGAGCACCAAGTCCACTTTCTCCAATTTTGATCTGACAAAGCTCCCTGGATGAGAAGCTAAACATCTTCGCCTACAGAACAGACATCTAGTTGTTCTTTTTTGGATCTAAATATTCCTCTGTCCCGCAGGTCCGTTTATAAGTGTGCTGCTTTCTCGTTTGGAGAACATGCTCTCCAATAGGCTTCATGTCAACCTGTTGCTGACTGGCATCCTGGCCCAGTTAGCGACGTATCCCCAACCTCTGCTTCGCTCGTTTCTCCTCAACACCAATTTGGTTTTTCAGCCGACTGTTCGCTCTCTTTACCAGGTAACTCGGATTGATTTTACAAGCAGGATGAAATTTTGCACTTTGGAGTGAGCTGAAGCTCAACTTCAGTCTTCACTCTGCAGACGTAAATCCAGGCATTGCTTTAAATGTTTTCTAGGTGCTCGCGACTGTGAAGAATCATATAGAAGAGCTTGCTGAGAGTAGGAAGGAGTTTCCGGAGCTGATCACTACCGCCCAGCACTGGCTGCTGGCAAGAGAGGCTTCGTGTCTAACAGGTGATGACACCTTCAGCTAGAAACTTCTCTTTTAATGCTGAGACTCCTCTGTGTTTGTACAACTTTCAAATACTTTCAGCTGAAAAGTCATACAGTCACATGAGAAGATGAATTCAGTTCAATTCAGTTTATTTCTTTAGCTCCAAGTCACAACAGAAGTTGTCTCAGGGCTCTGAACAGAAGTCAATTCGTAAAGTTTTATATCTAAAGAAGGAAGTCTGCAAATTGCATTTTGTCGCTGTCTCCCATCTTGAGCAAGCACAGTGGCAACAGTGGAAAGGAAAAACTCCCTCCTAACAGGAAGAAACCTTCAGCAGAGCCAGGCTCAGGACAAGCGGCCTTCTGCTTCAACCGACCGAGTTTAAGAGGAACAGGAAGGAAGAACAGATACACAATGGCAGGTCTTTCTGTATGAGCAAAGGCTAAAACAACAACAACAAAAAGTTAAGATAGAAATAATTATAAATAAAAATGATTCATTTGTATTCATTTGATGAAATGAGGTCAATGTGTCCTCCAGTAATCTAAGCCTATAGCAGCATAACCAAGAGATAGCTCAGGAAACCAAGCCAACCCTAACTATAGGATTTATCAAAAAAGGAAGGTCTTCAACCCAGTCTTAAACTGGACAATGTGTCAGACTCATGGACAGAAAATGGAAGTTGGTTCCACAAGAGAGGAGTCTGATAACTGAAAGATCTTCCTCCCATTCTGCTTTTGGAAATGTTAAGACTCTGGCAGCAGCATTTTGGATCAACTGAAGACGTTTTAAACAAGTATTTGGACACCCAGATAACAAACCATTGCAATAGTCCAGTGTAGACGTGACAAATGCATGAACCAGTTTTTCTGCATCATTTTAGACGAGATGTCCACAAGATTACCACTTCTCATTTCTGTTTTGTAGATTTGAAGCTAGAAAGGAAAATTCGGTTGGGTTTAGTGAGCAGGAACTGAGCTGGATTCTGTGGGAAAGTACACGTCCTCACTTCTCCATTAATATGGCATGTTCCCGTTAGAACGTTTTTTTTTTTTGTCTTCAAAACAATCCAATTTCTGTCAAAGAAAAACCAGTTAGGTCTGTCTGCACTCTTATGGTCCTGTGAACCATCACTCCATATTTGATTGTGCAGATTCAGTTTAATGTAGGCTCGTCCCCCCCAAAGACTTTCAGTGTTTAAAAAAAGTGCATTTTAAATAGAATATTCTGCTTTGATAACAGTAAATAATTTATGTTATTATTGTTAAGATTTGTAGGCCTTCTTCACTTGCTCAGTACACGGGGACACTGAGCAGTAGCTCTTAAATTTGAAGTTATTCAGCAAAAATGAGCGCACCAGTTATATAGGTCATGCATTTTAAACGGGGGTGGGGTTGTTCTTATAGCCAACTTTAGCACTTGTGGAGCAGTCTGGGGCACTTTCTGTAAAAATTCAACATTTGTTCCAGAATTATTATTATTATCATCATCCATCTGTTCATCCATCCATCCATCCATCCATCATCTTTACCCACTTCTTCCTTTTTGGGTCACGGGGGTCACTGGTGCCCATATCCAGTAATCACTGTGTGAGAGGTGGGGGACACCCTGGACATGTCTCCAGTCCATCACAGGGACACATAGAGACAAACAAGACAAACAACCATTCACTCTCTCACTCACACCTAGAGACAATTTAGAGTTACCAATCAGCCTAACATGCATGTTTTTAATCTGTGGGAGGAAACCGGAGTACCCAGAGAAAACCCACGCATGCACGGAGAGAACATGCAAACTCCACCCAGAAAGTTCCACAGCCAAGATTTGATCTGGCAACCTTCTCGCTGAGTGACTTCTGTTGTGACTTGGCGCTATATATATATATATATATATATATATATATATATATATATATATATGAATATATGAATAAACTGAATTGAATTGGTAACAACTGGACCAATGGCCCCACCCGCTATAAGAATTTGCACAGCACAATAAACATTGTTGCAAAATGACCTGCGAGCACGCACGTTTTCTGTTTGAGACCTCTCGTGTGTTTGTACATTAGCTTCATAACTTCATGAGAAACAATACCATGAACATTAAAAAAAATACAAAATCAGAATATCCACAAAGATGGAAAATGATATAGTATGATCAGTGTGCGTGTAAACATCAGCCAAGTCAATGTGCTTCTTTTAGAAATTCAAATCAATTCTACATGACTTCATTAGTTCTTGGATTTGCAGTTTAGCGAGTTTCGTTGGAGCCTTCGAGCCGCGTGTTTGAACCACAGTCCCTGTAGTTTCAGAGCTCGGAAACATAAAAGCGAAATGTTTGTTAAAAGACGAGAATCCTAAAGGGCATATTTTATTTTACTTTGAATGGCTCTTCCTTTTAAGTGTTCAGCTTTTATCTTTCCCTTCAGAAGACTGCAGCTTTTGACTCGAATTATTCATCCATGGAGAAAGTACTGTAGCGTCGAGGCTTTTACAAATCGTTTTTTAAACTCAGCGGTGCATCATCGCAGCTTCTTCTTGTTCTTTACGCAGACAAAAGCGACGGCAGTGGCTCCAGTCACCACGACGGGGGACGACTCTCACAGAACTCTCCTCCGCCCAAACCCAAAGCCATCTCTCTGGATCAAACGGAGATCTTTGCTACCGTCCTCTTCACAGAGTTCCTCAAAGAACTGGCAGCCATCGCCCAGGAGCACTCCATCCTGTCTTACATTCCTACGGAAGAGTAGCTGCCACCCAGCGAAACCTCTGGTGATTTAAGTCATGGTTTTTAGCAATATTTTTCAGACACTACTTGACAAAATGATCCAACGATTTCTATTTCTAAATGCAATTTTGTAAAAAAAAAAAAAAAAAAAAGTTTTTCAAGCAAAAGCAAATCAGCTTTATGTGCGTTTGTGTGTGATTTGGGATTTGGAGGTCAAGAAGGAACTGATTTAATCACTAAAACCAGTGCATTTTCTTTACATATGCAAACTCCAGGTCCGCTGAGCAAAGACTGTAGAGCTGTTTCAGTAAACCTCCCTTACATGGACCGTTCAGGTTCTGAATGTCTCCTGGAACCAGCTCTGAACACAATGCGCTTCTCCAAAGATTCTCAGGTGGACTGTCACAAGTGTTGCCTCTGTGCATCAGGAATGTCACCTGGCCTTTTTTTCTGATGATTTCAGCTCGATATTTCATCACGTTCGTCTTTTTAAGGGATAATCTATAACTTCTAAAGTGGGGTTCTGTGGAAAAATTATGAAAATCAACATCTGACTCGTTATAAATTCATGAATTGCAACAGTTTGTTCGACTTGCTTTATGTTTGGACCTGACAAAACGCTGGTGAAGATTCTCAGTCATCCAGGACAAAATTCAAAAACGTTCCAAGACTAAAACAAATGGACTTTATTTGTAACAGAAGACGTTTCACTCCTGATCCAAGGAGATTTCTCAATTCAAAGAACAGAGTGTGGGTTTGTGCTATAAAGCTGAGGTAAGCTAGATACATATGCAGATTGCCCTCTCGCTCATCACAACATAAGTTCGTTAGGGTCAGACTAACAAAGTCCCTAACAAACCCCTATTGTGAGGAGTGAGAGGGCAATCTGCATATGTATCTAGCTTACCTCAGCTTTATAACTCAAACCCCACACTCTGTTCTTTGACTTGAGAAAGCTCCTCAGATGAGAAGCGAAACGTCTTCTGTTACAAATAAAGTCCATTTGTTTCAGTATTGAACGTTTTTTAATTGACCTTGCTTTATCTCCACACTCAACTGCGTTAGCTAATTGAATGACTTCACTTTGGAGGAATAGTTTAATTCTGCCCAGACTGACAAGCTAACGGCTAGTCCGAGTGGATTACTGCAGTCTTGTCTATAACAGGTAAGATATTAATTGTTCATAACTTTTCCACAAATGTATTTTTTTTATTTTCAAAATGATTTTTTGCTAAAGTTTCAATGGGTATCATTTTGATATTTTTGCTAATTCATGGTCAGGAATCTAAACACATGTTTTTGTTCTCCCATTTCCTAAGTTAGCTGTGGAGGTTTGTTCTAGAGTGCGCTAGTTTTCACATTTCTTCCCATTTTTTTTTTGTTTGTTTTGTTTGTAGAAACAAACAAACCAGAGCAGGTCAATCAATGTTGTGTATTAGCTTCACTTTTTTTTAGTCATGCTTTAAAAAATGTACATATATTGAAAAGGTTCTAGTCGAAGAATACTATGCAAATCAAGTGTATTTCAGGTAAAAATAATAAAGATTTTATTATATTAGGATAGGGTATTTAAATTTTTCTTTAAAAAGTTTTTGCTAATAGTTTTGTCAAAATGATCTGTTCTTTCAGCTGTGGTTTTAAAGATGCAAGTTTAAAATCTTTTTTTTTTATGAGAGTCTCAGTTCTGCATCCATTGAAAACACGCTCGGCATGACACGAACCAAAAGCATTTTAATGTTAGCTTCGTTGTATCAGCCCTGTTATTGCACACAGTGGACAGTATGGATGTCAAGGTGATATCAATAATATACTTTGAATTACCGTATTTTCCAGCGTATAAGCTGCTCCGGAGTATAAGTCGTATCAGTCAAAAAAAGCATCATGAAGAGGAAAAAAAAACATGTCACTTTGGTGTATAAGCTGCATTTATTATGTGTCACCACTGACCCGTTGCATTTATTATGCGTTTACGGTAATGATCAAAACAGCTTCATTTCACCTGGGCGGCGTGGCACCATCCATCGCGGCCAGAGCTGCTAGCTCTCCAGCTTTCTTCCGCCTGCACCAACTGAGTAAAGCGAACGCGCATGGGAGGACTCGCTGTTGCAGTTCTTTGAATTTAAAGTGTCAGTCAAAAATTGCGTTATGAATATAGAAAAAAAAACCAACCATAAGTCGCTTTGGCGTATAAGTTGCACTGACAAATCTATGCAAAAAAACTGCAGCTTATATGCCGGAAAATACGGTAACTAAATACTTGCAGAGTAGTGCCTTAAATTTGATTCTTAGTTCACATTTTGCCTGATTTTCTTTGACATTAATTTTAAAAAGCACAATCAGTTTTACTGTATTTTTCCTTGCTTGAAGTTGTATTTTTTTTTTACGTTTTTGGATGTTTATACTAAAGTCGGATTAAAAAATTTTATGAATTAAAAAAAAAAATCTGAAAAAGATTAGAGCATTTCTGAAGACAATTCAGGTTGATTTAGTTAATTTCATAAAGGAGTAAGAAATATTTGTTTAATCAGATATTTTATATAGATCAGGGTATTTGGGTATGTTTGATTCTTTGACAGACTAAATGATTACTTGTGTCGTTTTAAAACTGGTTAAAGATGGGGCCTTTGAGCAAGCATTAAATAATTTCATGAAATCCACTTTATGCACATCTGTCAGATCACACCATTGATTTAACGCTTGGTTTTAATAATAAAAATGTCATTTTAATTTATTCAAGTTCATCCGGTTCCTGTTTGCAGGTTTTGAAGTATCAATGATTTTGTGTACAAACTTATCAACATGGGTCAGAGCTGTATATTTTTATTGGAAGACATTTTTAGAATAGTTCAGTCTTTTTGCACTTTATCAGTTTTTCTCCCAGCATGCCACTCGGACGGTGGACATGTACCTCTGGACAGAACTGTGGACGATTGTCTTGAGTCATTTTCCAAAGATTCATTTCTCCTGCTTTTCTTTATGATCTCTGCTAGTTGAGATGTACAGGAAAAGACATGCATGCTTTATTAAAACATTCTGACAAATGAAACTGGATTTTAAATTGGCCCCTTTTACTTTTAACAAGAAGAAATACAGTACTAAGTGGCACAGTGTATTTGATTTATCTGATGCTGCCAATAAAGTTTTTTGCCACTGAAAGTCTGCAGCTTTTTCCTTCACTCACTGCATAATTAATACTTAAAAACATCAAGATAAATATTTTTGCATAGGTGAAAATACAACAGTAATTTTTTATATTTACGCTTTTTGCGACTCAAATCTTCACTTCAATTTTTAACTATTTTTGACGTAACTTCTATAAATTTACTGTTTGCGTAATGTCATTTATCTGAATGCTGATGGGAAATTATTGGAAGTGGGATGAGGTTTTCAACCAGTTTTATCATGTTTACAGTACCTGCTTGTACAAAAAGTGTACACTTATTTTTCCATAATCGCTGCCGTTTGTCAAAAAAAAAAAAGCCCAAATTATTTAAAAATAAATAAATACTTGAAATTGTTTAAATTGTGGGCCCTGAATCTCTCATCTATTAAATATTAACTTTTTGAATGGAATTATGGAAGTTAAACACATTTTCCATAATATTAAATTTTTTTGGAAAGGGTCTGTGTGTCAGCTAAGTGATTTAAGTTGTATTTTCAAAATAAGTTGTACAGATACGGCATCTTATAACACAAGTATCTGCATTCTCATTTCAGTGTTCACGTCAGTCCTAGATGAACAAAAAGTGCATAATATTGTGGCAATATTCATCTTTATACATAACCAACGTATTAAAAAAAGTTTCTCTTAGCAACTTTTAGACATTTTGCCTGTTTTTTTTTATAAAGAAAATACAATAGACACTAGAGATGTGTTCCCTTATTCCAAGGCTGACAACTTCCTTTTAAGACCGGGCTTGTCTTTTCTTTTTGACAAATCCTATAGTTTATTATAGTCGGCTTGGGTTTCCTGAGATGCCCATTAGTTGTGCTGCTATAGGCTTAGACTGCTGGAGGACAAGCTGACCACATTTCTTCACTCTGCTGCTGTCTTTACTTGCTCTAATTATTTCTATCCTTGACATTTTTTTTTGTCTTTCTTCCATTAGGGGTTACACCTGACAACATTCTGTGTTTGTTTCTACTTCCTGTCCTCTCAAACCCAGCCGGTCGATTCAGATGGCCACTTGTCCTGAGCCTGGTTCTGCTGGAAGTTTCTTCCTGTTAAAAGGGAGTTTTTCCTTTCCACTGTCTCCTTTGTGCTTGCTCAGGATGGTAGACTGCGACGAAGTGAAGCTTCATCACAGTCTGCTGGCTTCCTTAGACTGATAACTTTTACTAATTGGCTCATGTGCATGTTTCTTTACAGTGTCCTGAGACGACTTCAGTTGTGACTTGGCGCTATATAAATAAAGTGAATTGAATTATTAATCCAGACTTGGAAAATAAAAATCTCAATCCAGACTGTGAAAGACTGCTTGGAAATCAAGTGTGCTTCGACACCGGATACGTCAAACCACCACCGCTTAATGTCTTCCCTGTCATGAAAAGTACGGTAATCTTTCTTTTCTGAGCTGCACATGGGAACAGCTGGTTCATAACTACACATGACTAAACCGTACTAAAACATCCTGCCATTGCTTCTGTTTAAATAAAATATACATCAACCATAAAGGAAAAGAGACTGAGAAAAAAAATCATGTTTGTATAAGAACATATGGCACACTTCTACCACCAGGGGGCGCTCACTGATCATCTTCCTACCTGGAGCCCACACTGGAACGCCTTGTCAGCAGTTAGAGCTTCAGCCTCACAAATGGTCGTGAAGACCAATCAGCCACAAAGTCCATGGTACATTAGGTTATATGAAAAGGGTTGTGTTAATATGTGTGCAGCACAAAATAATGTCTTGAACCCTTAAAGTGATTTTAGGAAAATCATTAAAATCTGAGAACACCAGATAAGTTTTTTTTTCTACTTTCTTTGCTCTGGGATAAAAAATAGTGACTGTCTGGTCAAAAACTCGCAGCAGTTATATTTAATTCATAAATACATATAATGGTTCTTTAAAAACAAAATCAATATTTACACAACTGCAGCCTCTGAAAATTAGCATCGTAGCTGTTTTTTCTGTTTTGTTCCTGAATCAGGAAGTCTTCTGTTTCAGGATCTCCATCACAAGAACCGGATCAGCTCTCCCTTTGGTCTCTTTGCGAACCAGGCCCATCAGCTTGTTCAAAACCTTCATGTTTCCACTTCTGATGGCGTGAACCTGAAAACAAAACACCCAAAATGTTGTTGGGTTTTTTTGTAAAGTGCAAAAACTTTGCGTTACTCTTTGTGGTTTTGTGTTCGAGCACTGACCTCATCGGGATGAGAATCTATAACTTCCTGGCAGATGTTGTGCAGCTGTGCGATGTCACTAACGAGCCCCAGATCCTGCTCCTGAATGATCTGGGTGGCTGTTTTACCTGGAGAGCTCCACATCTCCTGGTGCACCTAGAAGCACAGAGAAACCACATGAAGCATGTGGAAAGAAGAAAACCCACCAACAGCTGGGTTCAGACAGGGGATGCGTCTGAAGGACCGACCTGTTTGGCAACTGATGAGGAGATGCGTCCCGTTTCCTGCAGCTCCAGCAGCTCAGCCAAGGCAGCAGGAGAGACGGGACTGAAATCAAATTAAGGGCTAATTTAATTACATTTTAGTACACAGACTTGGATTAGTGATTTAGACGATAGGGGAGATGGAAAGAGACAAAATGGGACTGAAAGGACAAAAATAAATTGATTTAACTGTAATATTTCCATATTTCCTTTCAGCCACTCAAACACAATAACAAAAGCAGCCAGTAACATCCAGTGACTGGCTGCACAGGCCAGTTAGACTCACAAACATGACTAAGCACTTTGAGCTCGAGCCATGCGTCAGTTACAGCAACAGGATGATGTCCCACCTGAGATCACAGCTGTAACTAATCCTGAAGACACTCTGACTGCAAGCACAGCCATGTTCGTTTGAAACTTACCTATAAATTAAGAATAATGTCTGTAAGCAAAATATTTCATCAACTACTGAACCAGTTCACGATGGAGTTATTCTGATTCAAGATGGCTGCCAGAGCTAATTTGGAAAACACAAAAATGGCTATAACCCAGTTGTTCCTATATTTAGCCAACAGTTGGTGTGCTGGTTGTTGTCGGTGTTTCCTAAGACATCCTTCAGTTTTTGAGCGAATCTTTGCCATTAGCTGTTGGAGCTGTTGGTTGTTAGCAAAATATCTTGTGAACCACTGAACAGATTTTAGTGAAACTCTCAAAGTTTGGATGTGCGGTATGTCTGCAGCCGATTAACCTCTGGAGTCGTTTTGAGTCGAGATTAAAAATAAATACATCACGCACCATCCATCCATCCAGGCATCCATCAATGGATCCATCCATACATCCATCAATGGATCCATCCATACAGCCATCAATGGATCCATCCAGGCAAACATCCATCCATCCATCCATCCATCCATCCATCCACCCAGGGATCGATCCATCCATCCATCCATCCATCCATCCATCCACCCACCCAGGGATCGATCGATCCATCCATCCATCCATCCATCCATCCATCCATCCATCCATCCATCCACCCACCCAGGGATCGATCGATCGATCGATCGATCGATCGATCGATCGATCGATCGATCGATCCATCCATCCATCCATCCATCCATCCATCCATCCATCCATCCATCCATCCATCCATCCATCCATCCATCCATCCATCCATCCACCATCCATCCATCCATCCATCCATCCATCCATCCATC